ATCCACCTCCAGAGCCTCCCTGGCCTCCATCCAGGAATCCAAAACCGTGCTGCTGTTTCCCTGCCCTATATGCCAGTAGAGAAACCAGTTGGTTTTGGAATCATGGAGTCATTATGGTTGGAAAGGACCTTCAAGATCACCAACCATAAACCCATCACCATTGTGCCTGCTAAACCATGTCCCTAAGTGCCTCATCTACATGTTCAAACCTTGTTACTCCAAAATGCTGCCTGGGAACAGAGGGATTGAGCCTGCTCAAGGCTCAAATTGGCCTTAAAAATGGACTTAGACTCCCATTTCATTATGAATTTCATTATGAATGAATCTACAGCTCCGGGACTTAGACTCCCATTTCATTATGAATGCCTACCATGTAGATGATTGATAGAGGTTTGGGTTGCACCTGTAGCACCCCTCTGAGGTTTTAAAGCCGTCCTGTAGGTACACGCAAGCCTGAAACCCTCCTTGGGCGTTGTACAACAGATAGGCCCATCCAGTAAACTAAACATGTTAGCAGCCTGCCCGTCGGAGGGTTTAATTCCCACGGGATGGAACAAATTTGCCCACTTATCTTTACTGCAGATCTCCTGGAGTGACTAACCCAGCACGTAGCTGTAAGCGGATGGCCAGGAGAGCACACCATGCTGAGAGCCTTAATCTCTTTGTAGGCACATTAAAGCAAAGGGAGTTCTTGCTGTGTGTCCCAGCATCGGTGCAGGCAGGGAATTGAGCCTTAAAAGTTAAAAAATGTCTTAGTTATGGACTTAGACAAGGTCATAACATGGTCCTCAAAGCTTAGCAGCCTAGAAGACAACCTTCCACTCCTCAAAGTAGCTTCTGGAAATGCTGAACCAAACCTGCTGAGGGGTTTTTGAAGCCAGGAGCAGGGTGACCCTTTCCAGTACTATCTAGTGCCACTTGAACACAAATTGAAGCTCACAAATCCTTCGGCCATCTGGTCCAAAACGAGCACGTGAAGCTGTTCTTTTTCAAACTGGGCTCTGAAGGATTGTGGAGCTTTTTAGCTTATTGCGTCAGCTTAAGGGAAATAATTATTACATTTATTTCCACTGCCCTTCATTTTGTGTTCTTTTTTAATAGAAGTGGTAAAGCCTAGCCATACACTTGAAGAAAAATACTGTCTTTTTGAGTCTTTAAAGTTGCCCTATGTAACCAGGATGTGTTGGGAATCTAGGACCCCAGCTCAGGAGCGCTGGGGTCTCTTGTTTGCTGCTTCAGGTAGAGTTGGGAAATACAGAGTTTATGCCGAGCCCAAAACCCAGCTTCTGCACTTAGCTGCATCTAGATTAGAATGGATATTCTCAGGTAGCTGCTGAGTTTTTCTAAAACCTGTGATTTTCGTCCCATTTTCTGCTTTGGTGGGTTAATCAGTCCCACCTGCATTTGACTGCTTAAAGATAAATAAATAAACAACCCCCCAAGCAGCTGCTGAGCTCAGAGCGTGAGTCAGAGCAGCGGAGCCCAAGGACACCGACCGGGGGACCGGGGAGCACCTGCAGCGTGGAGACGAGGGGACCCCTCGCTGCTGGGGACGCCCTGGGAGCACGGTGGGATACGAAGGGGATTCCTTATCCTTAGGGAGCCCCTTGTGCCCCTCGTCCAGGCGTTCCTGCCCTCCCCGCTGCCCTGGGCACAGCGTCATCCGTGGCCTCGGAGCGGGAAGAGCTCCGTCCTGCCGCGCTCCGGGCTCTCCCGTCCCGCTCTTGCTGGTTCACACCATCCGTTTGTCTCCATCTAGGGGAAAGTAGAGAAAAAGCCCGAGCCGAGCGCTGCCGCGCGGAAGCCTGAACCCAATGCGGCCTCTAAAATGGCTCCTGCTAAAACAGCCGTAACAAAAGAGGGGGCCCCCAAGCAGCCCAATGGGAAAGTGAGTTCATTTCCGACTTCTCTCTGTGGCCGCTGAAGGAAAACGTTTCCATTTTGGAGTCACTGTCCCTCCTCTTTACTCTTCTGCTCTCTCCTGTCAGTGTCACTGTCCCTTGCACAGGCACCCCCTGTTTTTCTCTCGTGCTCCCCGCGATGCTCTCGGTTAAGCCCCGTGAGAGGCATCCAGGTGATCCCGTCGGATCCCTCCTTTCCAACTGCTGGAAGCGCTTCCCGGGCAGAGTTGTTTTGGGTAGGAGCTTCCCCTCCAGCGCAGCTCTTGGCGCAGGACCCGGCCCCGTGCCGGGGGAGCGCGTTAGGGCAGCGCTGCGCGTTCCCCTGAGGATGCAGCCCGTTCGGAGCGCAGGTTTTCCAGCTGTTTTCCCAGCACAGGGGCCGCAGGGATGGGCGGTGAGTTCTGGTGGTCCCTTTGGTGCTTTGAGCTGTCGCCTCCTTCCCAGCCCCGCTGGATGCAGCTCTGCCACCATCCTGCTGTGCTCCGTAACCCCCAGGCTCAGCCCTCGTGTCACTAACCCGGTGTCACTGCGGACCTGTCCCACCTCCACGAGGAAAAGCCTCCCGTTCAGCAGAGTCCTCTGGAACCCCTTGGGTTTCAAGGAGAAACAGGCATCCATTTAATTAACCTTGGGCTTGTTCTGTTGGGGGGTAACTGAAGCTTCGGCAGCTTCAGCAGAGAAGCTGTCGCTCGGATGGGGCTTTCCTGTCCGGAGGTTTTGGAGGACGTTCCCGGGGACTGGAACCAGCGGAGATAGTTTAAAGTGGGGCCAATAACAAGCCAGCGGGTTTGGGATCGTGGAGGTGCCCGTCGGGTGTCCGAACGCGTGGCCGGCGGCTCCGGGGCCGCTCCGACGGAGGCGCCCGCGAGGCCGGAGCGGAGCCCGTCCCGCCGGCCTCCTCCCCGCAGCGCTTCGCTCCGTGCCGGCGTCCGCTCCGGCCCGCCGCGCGGCGCTGCTAACCAGTCCTCTTCCCTTGTGTTGTTTTTCCGTTCTCTAACATTCCAGGTCCAGATAGTCTCCAAAAAAGCGAACTACAGCCATGTTCAGTCCAAGTGTGGGTCCAAGGACAATATTAAGCATGTCCCTGGAGGTGGGAATGTAAGTATGGGCTCGGGGCGAGCTCCCTGTCCACTAACTCCTGTTCCTGTGTTCTTGTTTGTGCGTCCTCGTCCTCGTTGGAGGCAGACTGCAGGGCCGGGGCTTTTCCAGGAGACGCCAGGTTGACCCTGTGGATGTGGCCTCTTTCTCCCATGGCTTCCATGGCGCTCATTGAGCCGGCGTTCGGTGTCCTCGGGAGTTAGTTCGCCCCAAATTCTCAATTAGGGTGTAGCAGGTTGTACCCTAGCAGTACCCATAGCTCTTCGCTGGCCAGTAGAGCAGGCCCGAGGCCGGATTCATTTCCCTTCTTGTTTCATAAGGAGGGAGACGTTGGAAAAGGAGGCAGCAAATACTCGGGGACTTAATCTTTGAGCTGTGATTAATTTCTAAATTTAAAGGCTGCTGGTGTCTCTGGTAACAGAGTTGAGCTTATTAAGATAGAGAGCTAATCCTGTGCTGTCTGTGGCCACGGTTTGCAGTACAATATTCTGAAAATGTTTTTTAAATTATATATAAAGTTGAATACTAAAGGTTTTGAGAACACCGTGGTAGTTGGGCAGGCTTGTTCCCTTGTTGACACAGTCTGTCCTGCCTTGACCAATCTCTGCTGACCCGTTCCTATGAGCGATGGTTGGTAGAAACGCAGGTCTTGGTGGTTGCCCATGCGTGCCCGGGGCTCCCGCTCCGCGTCCCGCGGGGAGGGAGGGCAGGTCCCTGCATTCGGGTGCCCCGGATCCTGGCTCGGCAGATGGTCCAGCTTTGGTCTCTTAGTCGTGCCACGACTGCTGCGTAGGATGCACCCACTTTGCCCCTTTTCCTGGGCCATGGACGTGGCTGTGGATGAGCAGCCCTTCCCGGCAGCTTCCAAGAGGTCCCCAAGGCCCCTCCTGGGGACATTAACCAGCTGGTTGGTTGCAGGTCGCTTGCAGCTTCCCAAGGTGCCGACGGAGAGAAGCTGCAGCCCGACGGGCTCCCTTCCCCCCGGAGCTGTCGGGGGTCTTGGCTGTCCCCCTTGCCCACACTCACCAGTGCTGCCTTTCCCAGCCTCGTGGACGTGCCCAACGTTTACAGGGGCTCATATATGTCTATATGGAGCTTCCCGTGGCAATGCCCAGACAGGAGCACAGAAAGCAGAGCCGCGGGTGCCCTCGTGCTGTGCACACCTCTTCCCAGCTCTGCGCACCTCTTCCTGTGGTGCATTTCCAATTTTGTCGCCCAGATTTTTATAGGTAATAAGTTTTTTTTGTGGCAGCAGCACTTGCTGCAACCAAAGTGTTGATGCACTTGAAGGAGCTTCATTTTGTAATGCACTTTTACCACTCTTATCTTGGACAGTGTTTTGGTGGGCACCAGGTCTCGTACTTTTCCGTTTTTGGGGGGTGTACTTTAAATATACTTCAAATATGGGGGTGTTTTTCTTGCTAATATTAACTGCATTAATGAATTGTAATTTCTCCCAATAGTTCACCAAACCTGTCCCTTCCCTCTGGCATTTTGCTGTTCTTCTGTCCTGTCCTGGGGACACTTCCAGCTCTAGGGGACGGGTCTCTGTGCCACTTGCTGCTTCTCTTCCTCCACGCTCTCCTCTTACTGCTGCACTTCTTGCTCCACTACTTAAGCTTTCTTTTTCTTTAAGAATAGAGAATAAAGTGCTTATTATTTCCAGGTTCCAAATGCCCCCAAAGCAGCCTCAGACAGTCGTCCCCAGCTCTCCAACGCCCCCAAACCCAGCCCAGGCAGTGCCCATGTGAGTAGAAGAGACGCGGTGGCCGCTCTGGCTTCCTGCAACAGCGGTTCCTTGTATTCCCTGTATGGCTGCCCCATTGCTGTGGGGCACCGCGACGTCGGTGCCCTCCTCCAAGGGCTTTCCTGCTCCACAGAGCCGCCGTGGGCGCTCCTGGTCGGAGCGGTGCCCGGGTTTTATTCCATGGGGGGCCTGCAGAAGTCCAGCGTTGCAGGCCGTGGCCTCAGTGCAGGTTTTAGGAATCGCAGGGACAAGAGATGGCAGGAAACTGCCTCAGCACCAGGGTTGCTCTGGCCGGGGGGATCGACACTTACCCACGTGGATTAATTGCTGCTGCTGGGGTCGGCTCCCCATGAACCCCATTTTACCCTCTATACATGGAGACAACCTCTCCCTCCCTTCAAGACACTCAGGCTTGTTCAAAAGCAGTAGCTATTGTTGCTCCTATTGTATTTTATAGGAATGTCTCAGCACAAACGTCATTGGAATCCAAGCACAAAAGCTTTGGTCGCACTTTATTTTTTCACCCTCTCACCTTAAAGAAAGTAACAGTAAAGAGAGAGGGACCTCCTGAGTCCATCCACCCTCACTGGTAATGGATGTTCCTGCATTTTGAGGGGGTCTCTGTGGTGCTAAACCTCATTTTAGCCCAGTTCCAAGCCAACAAAGCCTTGTAAATACTGTGACAAAAGCTCTAGCAGCAGAAGGGCTTTTCTCCAGCAGAAATGGTGCTGAGCATCCCTCGGCTTAGCCAGGCACAACCCGACCCATCGGTTTCCCGTGTCCATCGTAACGAATCCGGACGAGACCCCGAGCGCCCTGGCCCGACGCCGGAGCGAGCCCGGCTTTGGGTGCCAGGAGGGACCGGAGCAGCTCCACAAGGTCCCTCCAACCCCAATGGCCCCGTGGTTGTGCGAGGTGCCACTGTGAGTTCAAAAATCAGAGTTGTCCTGCAGTGCTCTTAGGCTGAGTGTCAGGGATAAAATCTCCTCTTTTTGAGGAAAAGGCATAAAAACCGCTGACATTTTGGCTTGGTCCCACCCTGAAGAAGGCACTTTTATCCCCATTGAAGCTGTTGTCCACAAACACCGGGCTAGAACATTTGGCTCATTGTTGGCTCGGAAGAAAATCACTCACTGAGTCACAAATGCCGGGATTTCATGAGCGCATCGCTCCGTGCTTCTCATAGAGGGTTCTCTGTGCCAGGAGCGAGTGCCTGGCAGGATGAAACGAAAATAATACAAGGACACAGTGTCCCCAGTGCCAGTGTTTGGCTCCGAGGAAGCATAAGGGGAGCCTGTGGAAGCAGTCGCTCCATCTGGGCGCGATGAGTGTTGCCGGTGCCCCGTCCCGGTGGGAAGGAGCGGCGCGAGGAGGCGCTGGGTGTTGTTCACAGCCGCGCTCGTCCCTGCGGAGCCGCCCGGCACAGCTGGCACTGCCACCACGGGGCCCTTTCGGGGCCCTTTTCCAGTGCTCCTGGTCCGTGGATGTGCCCGGGCCGCCAGGCTCTGGGTTCTGGTCGCTGTCCATCTCTGCTGGCTTCCTCTGGTCTCAATCCTGTCCGCTCACATTAACCACTTGGGGCTGGTGCAGGCCTTGAAACGCTCCTAAAGCCTCCTGTAACATCAGGCATACGGTGAGCAGGAAATTAACAGGGAAAAAATACTCAGAGGAGAAGGGGTACGGATTCCCAAAGCATGACCTGCTGGCTGAGGTGGCCCCAGCTTCCCGGGAGACGTTTCCTTGCACTGAGTTGTTCCCTTTTTGTCTCTTTAGGTGCAGATCCAGAACAAGAAAGTCGACCTTTCCAAAGTGTCCTCGAAGTGCGGCTCTAAAGCAAATATCAAGCATAAACCAGGTAGAAATGTCACCCTCTCCTCCTGATGTGTCTGTGAGTGCTGCAGGTCACTCAGCTGCTGTCCGGGGGGACAGTTTGAAGGGAAGGGGCTGTTGGAGAGGGCGGCCGAGCGCCCCGTCCCTAGTGGCTTTCTGAGGGGATTGGGAGCCGTGGGGTTTCCTGCTCGGCTGCAGAGCAGATGCGAGGGGTTTGTTCAGCCTGCAGTTCCGGGCCAATTCTAGTCATATTTAAACACTTCGGGCTCTTTGATGACGCAGTGTGGACTTGCCATGTGCATAGCAATTATCCCGCCCGGCCTGAGCGGATCCCGCGTTTCCCATCAGGGTGGGAATGCAGGACGCTGCGGGTGGCGCTTGGAGCAGCGGGTCCGCGTGGTGGCCCCGTGCACGGGGGACAGGTCCCTGCCCGGCTGGGACGCGTCCCCGCGCCGCTCGGTGTCGGGAGCGGATCGGCCCCGTGCGCGGAGCATGCGGCACCGCGAGACCCTGACCGCTCTCGTCCCAGCCTAGGGCAGAACAACCCGGCCGGAACCATCGGGTGGCTCCGGCTTGGCTGATCCTGGCCGTGCAGAGCTCCAAAGGGCCCGAGGACTTTGGGTGTTTAATAGCGTCACTGAGAAGCAAAGTTTGGCAAAATGTGAATAATTCCATGAGAAAAGCAGCGCAATGCAGGCTGTGCACGGCCTCTTATGCACTAAGAGGAGCCGCGGTGCTCCGAACGCAGGGAGCTTCGCTAGGACCCTCCCGTTCCCTGCCCTGCATCAGGTGCTCCCGAAGGAGCCGCCGTGTCCGGCCGGGCCTCCCGGGCCAGGAGCAGCCGGAGCAGCGGCTGGTGGCTCTGCGGCTTGTCCTGCTCAGGGACAGCAGGGACGGGAGCGGGCAAGGAGCAGAGGGACACGGGGCCCCGACGCGGCTCCGCGCCGGGCTTGGCACCGAGGCTGCTCCTCTTGTCCTAGGGGGAGGAGACGTCAAAATCGAGAACCAGAAGCTGAACTTCAAGGAGAAGGCCCAGGCCAAAGTGGGGTCCCTGGACAGCGTGGGCCATTTGCCGGCCGGAGGCGCCGTGAAGGTGCGTGCGGGACCGCGGGGCGCCCGGCGCGGCCCCATCAGCGGGCGGGATGGGCCTGTGGGCCGTGCCCGGCTCTCCGGGTTGTTCCTGGAGCGTTTGGTGGCCGCCGGGTGCCCGGGTGCCCCTTGCTGGTGTCGGGGGGTCATAGAATCATAGAATGCTTAGGGTCGGAAGGGACCTCTAGAGATCATCTAGTCCAGGCCCCCTGCATACGCAGGGACACCTAGAGCACGTGGCACAGGACTGCATCCAAGCGGGCTTTGAAGATCTCCAGAGAAGGAGACTCCACAGCCTCTCTGGGCAGCCTGTTCCAGTGCTCTGT